AATCGGTGAGTGTGTGAATATTGTGTTTTTAGAGCATCTCCAACCGTATGTTAATTGTGGGATTATAGAAGCAATCTGATAAAAGAACTTCTCCAACAACAATTTTTCCACTTCTATAGGTGATGACGTGGCATGAAAGAGAAACAACAATTTTAGATGTCCTTCTACATGTAGAAGTCCTTCCAGACGTATGAATCATTTTCTTCTCCTTATTTATAAAATTTATAATACAAAATAAATAGATAACATGAAGATAGAATAAACCATTGGAGACTTTTTTTGGTATTGAACTTCTATTTGTTCCACGTGGATGGAAGACCATCTATTTGATTGTCACACACACTACAATTCATGTTCACGGTTGGAGATGCTCTTATTGTGTGCGTGGGAGATGGAGTTTTGGGGGAGATTGAGTTTTGGGGTTAGGTTATTGTGGACCCCACAGTTGTTAAGTGTTTAGAATGATTAAATTTACTCAATTACCCTTAATGAGTATAATAATTTGGCTTTTTCTTAGTCATTGGATCATCCAATCCAATGACTGAGATTTATTCTCATTTCTTTCATTGAGTACCTTTTCTCACTGGAGTCTGTCCCTATATATATATATATATATAGTCGCGCTCACATGAGAATGGTGCTTAGTGAAATAAATGAGAATAAATCGTAGTCATTAGATCGGATGATCTAATCGCTAATAAAAAAGTCAAATTTATACTTTCATTAAGGGTATTGCGATAATTTTTTACCCCACATTACATTAAATTACTGTCAATTAAGTGCCAACTACCACCGAACCCCCACCCCACGTTTTCTCTCTCAGCCACACACACACATCACATTTCGCCCTTCACACACCAACACACACACACATCACACACCAACATCACCGCCGATAAAAGGTCGACCGTCAGACCCGCCGTCCGCCACCAGACACCCGCCCGCCGTGAAGATCCACAGAAACACGCCGGCCGCCCGACCTCAAACGGCTCCTCCTCGCATCCCCGTCCGACCTCCACCATGAATTCGCCAACATCGCCGTCCTCTGACGGATTCCGGCGACCGCGGACTGCGCCCCAGTTTCCATGGAAAGGAACCAAATCCATAGTCGAAGCCCGACACACCCGCCACTGCCCGTTTCCGCTGCCACCGCCCCCCGCCACCGTCGGCACACACACACGGCTCACCACACACACAGTTGCTGCCCGATTTCAACAAGGAACGAGAATGAAGATTTAATTTGGATTGTGGGGTTATGGTTTGAGAATTTGACAATTTCAAAGGGTCTAATTGCAAATTTATGAGTTTTATCAAATTTCAATTTGACCCTTGGGTCTAATTTGAAATTTATAAAAAAATATATAAACATTATTGTTTTTTGTACAGTTTCTATACATATATATATAAAAGAAAATATGTATATATATACTATCCATTTGCAACAAAAAATACATATAAAAGTATTAAAATATTTTATAATATAAATAATAAATTAATTTGAAATTTTATGATAAATATATAAACATTGTTGTTTTTTGTACAGTTTCTATACATATATATATATATATATATATTAAAATACATATAAAAATATTAAAATACATATAAAAATATTAAAGAAAATATAAATATTAAAGAAAATATGTATATATATACTATCCATTTCAACAAAAAATACATATAAAAATATTAAAATATTTTATAATATAAATAATAAATTAACTTAAATTATGTAGGTTAATTTCATTTAAGCAAATAACTCGATTATAAAACATGTAGTAATGTGCAATGGTATTAAACAAAATGCACATTAGTGATTGTCATACTACACGATAGTGTTAGACACATGAACTTTTGAGGAAACATCTTGGTAAATTTTGATAAATTTATGAACGAATTGAGCCGACTAATGAACAACTCTATGTAATTTCGTATATTATAATGGATATTTTTAATTATTACGAATGTTATTTATAATTACAAATATTGTTAATAATTACAGTAGTTCGAGTTATACACTATCATGTTGTACTATATAAGACAACACATTGCACTTTACAAAACAATACGTTGCACTTTATCGTTCGATTAATACACTATCACGTTGCACTTTATAAAACAACATATTGCACTTTACAAAACAATGCATTGCACTTTATTACGATTATCGGATTTCACATTATATATCGAAACCAACGAACTCAATTTTATTCAACAAAAAAATAATATAAAAAATAATAAATTAAATTATTAACATATTAAATATAATTTAAATATAAACAACAAATTATTTCAAATATTTAGGATAATACAGTTATTCGAACCGAATAAACCAATTGACTATGTTCATTTTTTCATTTGTTTTGGAACAAAAGTTCGGTCGGTTCAATCTGCACAATACAGACCGACACCGTGCACCGTAGTGTTGAACAAATTGCACTTTTATAAATGTTACATTGCACGATATATTTCGTTCACATAAATACTAAATTTTGATTCAAAAAATAATATAAAATAACAAATAAAAAAATATTAAACACTAGTCGTGCTTTTTATAATAAATGATATAATTTATGTCAATTATTTTGGTTATTTGTGTTTGTCGACAATTAAATCGATTATGTCGCAATTTTTAGTTCGAACTTTTACATTTCATTTTGATTATTTATTTTTTAATGTTAAAGTGCATATCTATACATAATTTGTGCAATTCACTATCCTAAAAAAATAGCCTATTTATTAAATTTTTTAATAATTTCGTATCTATATGACATTATTTTTTAAGGTACACGCCTACACACAATATTGTGCATGTAATGTCTCGTTATTGTGCATAGATTAGTACTTAATTAATTATAAAATGTCATACATAAATACAAATATACATATATTAAAAGTGTATTGATTGCAAAATACTCCCTAAACATATTGAAATTTCAAAACATACNGTCGGCCAGTTGGTGACGGAAGTGGAGGACGGTGGAGATGGAATCGGCGAAAATAGGCTTGGTTGAGGTTGTGTCGACGGGCGGTGGTTGGCGGCGGGGACGGTATTCGACGACTGCAGGCAACGGGCAGCTGATTTCCGTCGGAAACTCATTGGTCGCATCAAGCTCCGGCGATGGAATGCGGAAGCGCGGCGGTGGACTGCATAATCACGGTGGCGGAGATCCGCCGCTGAGAAGACGACGGTGACAACTGCACAATTTAGAGAGCTTCTGTGTGTGTGTGTGTGTGTTCGCGTGCGTGAGTGTGGAAGAAGATGAGGGTGGGGAGGGGTAGGTGGGGGAGGGGTAGGAGTAATTATGTTTATAATAATGATGGTAGTGGTGGGTCCCACAGGATGTTGAATTTGATTAAATGTCCAAACTACCCTTAATTATTGGTCAAATACATATATTTGACCATAATATGATCAAATAATTACCAAATTGCCATTAATGATTGACCATATTTTGATTTCATCAAAACCATTGGTATGTTAAATCCAATGGTCCAAAATCATTCTTATTTCTTTCACTATCTACCATTCCCATATGATCCTCTCTCTCTCTCTCTCTCTATATATATATATATATATATATATGATGTGGTTCAAATGAGAACCAAGTCCTAGCGTGAGAACCGCTATTTTTAATTGTATGACGTGCTATGATTTGTTGTAATTTAATGCTATTTTTAACCAAGATATACTTTATTAAAAATAACAACACAATTTATATTAGAATTTGTGAAAATGATAGCATAATGTATTATTAAAAATAGCATATACAATTAAAATTAGCATTAAATATTATTCTCACGGTTCTCACATCAGGACTAGTTTTTATTTGAACCAGCCTATATATATATATATATATATATATATATATATATTTACTTTACACCCATATGTCAAACATGAAACATTGTTCTCATGAAAACCAGATACTTTACATGATTCACCTCTAATACCAAAAAGTTGTACGTAGAACATAATTTAATTTATACATAATATGAAATCCACTTATGTCCGGTTGCTTCTCTAACTGATTTTTTTTTATTTTTTTTTTATTTTTTTTTTCAAACATCAAATGAAACATATCATTAAAAGTCGAAATGTACACAGCGACCAACCGACGGTTGGGGTCATGACTCTTGCCTATACATGCTAATAAGGCAGGAGCCCACATAAGGAGGATATCCGTGGATTCCCCGACCAAGCCACAACGGCCCCAACAAACCAAACCCACCTAATCAAACACAAAACAAAGAGCAAACTAAGACCTACACAAGCAGCATTACTGTCCACAACACTCCAGAAAGAATAAAACAAAACACAGACTGCAAAATTTAAGTCCCTACATCATCATGCACTAAAACCACGTATTCCAAGGCATCAAACAAGCAGAAAATATCATTAGCTAAGACAGCAGCATTAATATCATTAGCTTCTCTAACTGAATCTACTAAAAACCATGCTTCACTAGTTTTATTTATCTAGTAAAATCTGTACAATATCGTAGTCGATAACTCAGAAATATAATAGAGAGGAATGTAATGTGAATTTGCAGGTGATGTGACGAAATCATTAAAAAGAATATTTAAAGAATTTTACCGTTGAGTGCTCGCCACTTTATTATACAGACCCAAAAAACCAAAGTACCTCCAAATTGTCTTGTGCACTATTATTTTTTTTCTACAATACGAAAGCCACTTAGGTGACCATAAGCCGAAAGGTACAAAGGAAAAACCTTATCACACTTTTGGTGTTCGAAATCCACCGGATTTCGGCAATCATCGTCCATCCATCCAACTATCACACATTTCACACCAACTCTAAGAACATGCCCCCGTTACTCGGTTGCCAGGTAGGTCATTGTACAACAGTAAATTCCCCAGATATTGTAAGAAAAAAAAAAAAAAAAAAAAAAAAAAAA